ATATATATATATATATAAATTGGAAACTGAAAAAGGCTGGTAGAAAACGGAAGAATGTTTGAAAGTGTTCTGTTTTAAATATTCGATTAATATCTTTCAGAGGATATCCGAAACAGACGTACGACAGGTATGTACAGACGTTGTGTTATTGTTGTTGTTTTTTAAAGCTGATCTGTTTATTTCAGTAAAACACTGTCTTCTTAAGCTTAAATTTCGTTCGCTGCTTTCCATTGGGTTGTTTTATTTTCATTCGTATAATTTATGTGATACACATCGTTGTCTTGCTCTTTGCTTTTCACAGCATCACTAGTGTTTTTGGCAAAACTGCATTTTTCTTGAAGCGTTTTTCACAAATTTTCAATTCGTCATATAGTCGCAGAATTGAACTGTGTGTCATCTATTGCCCATTTATTGTATGCACCACATGCAAATTTCTAAACGGCGTTGTTGTTATGTGCTCGTTTATGTGTGTTTTCCTTGGGCTGATGGTGTTGGTATCTATTCACTCATATATCTTCTATAAGGCTTGATTGTGGCAGAACAATGTTCTCCCTGCTTTGCTTGTATGAATCGGTATCCGTTACCTTTACAGTGAGTGTGGTTCAAAAGAAAATTGGACCATGCTAATGTTACATTCCAGTTAAGGCTTATCAGGGTCGGCAGGTTTATGTCTAGGGATTTGTTTCATGTAGCTGCACTGAAAGCTGCCTGATGCAGTGTCGTTGATAGTTTCAATTACAGAAAATGTATGCATTGGTTCAGTGAGACGGAATTGAATGATCCTCTTTCATGATTAACTCGAAGGTTGTATGATAAGATTAAATTCGTGGCAGTTAATTCGACTTTATCAGTGCTATTATTCTTATGATGTAATCACAAGAATCATTAGTCTCCAAGTGATTATTATTATTAGTGTATTTACTATTGAATTGCAGGATATTCTAATGGATCATGCACTACGAACAATCTCTTACATAGCTGACATTGGTGATTTGGTTGTGCTGATGGCACGTCGTATGTCACAGTCGGCCAGTGAAGAAGAATGCTCTTCTGAAAGGTTGCTGCCTGTCCAGTTGTATTCCGTGAAAGAATTGAGTGTGAAAATTAGCTGAGTGACTGTATGGAGAATGCCCTACAAACGGGTGAGGGAGATGTGCGCTAGGTTACCTTCTGGGATGCATGAATATGAATAGCGGAGTACAGAACAATAGAATAGGGTCACAAGAGTCGATCTAATAAAAGACTGACGGATTGGGATTGACGTGTGGGACTGGTTACTGCAGTGGAACTGTTTGGTCAAGGTTGACCCTAAGACGAGGTGGTTCTGTGATAGGTTGAAGAAGACGAGGAAGATTGAAACTGATGCCGTTTTGATCGCTTAGCTAATAACGTTTGGCTTATCCGCATGACGACTACGGGTTTTGTTATGAGAAATCGTTCTTTCTCGAATATTTGTATTTAAACATATTTCATATACTTATGAGTATTCGTTGTTGTTTAATGCAGTGAGTACTTACTTATAGCCTAGAAGGAACGCGACGAGCACCACGTGTCATATGCCATGTGTTCGAGTCTGAGGAAGCGTCATTTATTGCGCAATCCATTGGTCAAGCCTTTCAGGTGGCCTATGTGGAGTTTCTGCGAGCAAACGGTATTGATGACCCGTCATATTTACGTGAAATCGATTATCAGGTTTGTGGTTTGTTTTGATTTCGATGTGTCAATTGTTATTCGGTCTTGATTTCATTCGGTGACTAAGATTTGGTTCGTTGTCGGTGGTAGATGCGAGTTGATTGATTGAATTGTTGAATGGAATTGACTCAGTTGATTGTTTCTTTGTTGTTGCTGTTTGAACAAATTTTTGAATTCAAGGAAGTGCTGAATTCACAAGAGATGATGGGTGAAGAGTTGGAAATGTTCGCTCGGAAAGAGACTCAAAAGGATATCGTCGTACCGAAGAAAGCCGGTGAGCCGTTGGGTGTTGTTGTGGTTGAGTCGGGATGGGGCTCGATGCTACCGACAGTTGTAATTGCAAATCTGCAACCGAACGGTGCTGCGTCCAGATGTAACCAGTTGAATATCGGTGATCAGGTGCTGCCTTCATTTTACTTACGAACAGATGAAGAATTTCTTTTTGACAATATTTTTTTATGTCGTCAGTGCAGATGGACACTTGATTGGTGTGCGCAGCATGTATATTGACGAAATTCATCTTTATTCTTCTCAATTACCCATTTGAAAATATTCTCACACAAATGACGTTTGATAGTATGAAAATTGTCTCGAATAAGCAAGCACACTTGCCATCCAGTGACACTATTGACGAGTGAGAGACTTGTTGCGATAAATTGAATTTGTGATAATTGTTTGTGGGGGTAAGGACACTATTTGATTGTTTTAATTTAATGCGGTATTTTAAGATAATTGCAATAAATGGTATCTCGTTGGTTGGGCTTCCGTTGGCGTCTGCTCAACAGAATATTAAGGTTTCAATTGTTTCAGTGAAATATTGTTTTCGTAGATTACTTTGTTGGTGAATTATAACTGAATCAGAACGTTGGCGTTGTTAGAGTGGAACATATATTTCATAGTGACCAATTCAATACCAGTTCACAACTGAATTGCAGGCTGCCCGAAGTTCAACAGCTGTTAAATTAACAGTCGTCTCAACACCACCCGTCGTTGAAGTGCGTATAAAACGACCTGACACTAAATATCAATTAGGTTTTAGTGTGCAAAATGGTGTGGTAAGTTTTGGAACTACTTTTGATTTATTCACCAGGATTGTGTAGGCTGTTTGAAAGTAGCCGTGAAAATGTTTCAGATATGTAGCTTATTACGCGGAGGTATTGCTGAAAGAGGTGGTATTCGAGTGGGTCATCGCATAATTGAGATAAACTCTCAAAGTGTTGTGGCAGTGGCTCACGAAAAGATCGTGAACATGTTAGCGACAGCAATCGGTGAGATACACATGAAAACAATGCCAACTTCTATGTTCCGTTTATTGACTGGACAGGAGGTACCGAATTATATTTAAGATGTGATTTGTTTGTCGATTGAATATCAAATACCATCAAAGCTGTTCGGTAACACATTCGGCATTTTGCTAACCATCTTCTCATTATTATTGTTGTTGTTTTCGTAATGATATTATTGATGTTTCTTTTTGATGCGTTTACTGTTCTCTTGCTTCCATCGTTATTATTATTGTGATCGTCGATTACTACAATCCTTATCACTATTGTATTAGCATTCGTTATTATCAAGTCATTGTCATCGTTCGAAAAACAGGCAAACTGCTTAGAACACTATTTTCCACATCGAGATTAGTTCAAAATGAATGGAGACAGCAGATTGAATGTGCATATTCACTAAGCTAAATTGCAAGCATAACGTCACATTAGCACTTTATTACCAAGTGCACGTCCCTTACTTTCTTGATGAAGAGGAATAATTAACGAGTATTCGTAAGCGCACAACAATCTGTCTGCATGCACTGATCGGTAATGAGTTTGATAATTGCGCTTTTCTTGATGATACATTATGTGTTTGTATGTGTGTCGTATAGATTGCTGTTTGATTATAACATGCATTGTTCTATATATGGTTCATTTTGTTTCTAGTCTTTTAGTAGGTGATCGGAATAGGCAAGCGAACACATTGCACTGTTGTCGTTCACGTTACGTAGTCGCTTAGTTATTACTTCTATATATTTCGGGTTATTTGCAGTCAACAAATTGCTTTGTTCTTTTATTGACTCATTGATGAGCTGTTGTTATACAGCAACAAGAACAATGCACGACAACGACAAATTCTAAAGTAAGAACTATTAATTGAAAGATAACAATAGAATTCGTTCATTACAGCAACAATATGAAGTTACATAACTGAATCGATTAATGCCTGTCAACCTGTCGAATTGTTATGCTGATACGATTTGTGTTCACGTAATCGATTAACTCTTTCGGCTGATCTGTATTGATATTCGATAATTCGAGACGATAATCAGTGGTTTTGATAATACGCGGCACGGCGTGATAAACAAGACGTTGTTGAGCATGCATCACTAGCACATCACCCGAATGTAGTAGTATCGCATCGAGTGAATCGTCAACACTTCTACCACCGCTTAGATAGACTGCTGATTGTCCAAGACTCAACGATATGAGTGGTTTGGAAAGATCGTGCTCGGAACTGAAATAACTTGTTTGATTGTTTACGTGATATAGACGGATGCATTCTGGAGACGAATTCGTTTAATACCATTCATCAATTTATCTATAGGCAGAAAGCAACGAATAAAATAAACCGATCAACGTGAGCTGAAAGAGTTGATTTTGGCGGAAAGTAGTTGATGATAACTGCATCCGCTTCCATTTCACCGAGTCCGAGAATATTCGATATTATTTCAGCCAATAATTTGATTTCTGACGGTAGTTGATCACCTGTGATTCCAACTTTCAAACATTGTAAAAATAAGATGATGGTTACGATTAGATATATATATTTCAGCAATTTGCATATCATCAACTCTTATTCGTTTATAATTCTAAGTGTGTTCATCATCATTGTAAATGTGTAATACGTTTAAATGCGTTTGTTCGATTACTACGTTGTTGTTTTTCATTTCGTTATGATGCCATTCTAAAAATCATTGTATGAATAATACTCCACGATATTTATTTTACAGACTACTTTCAAGTACACGGTAATAAAATGGCACAACACCTGTTTCCGGATACTTTTTCGTTGTCCAATCATAGTGATATCCCATTGTAGTCCAACGTAGATTCTTTCCATGATTTTTGAATATCTACAAAAGTTTCGCTGAAAGTGGATCGTGGTCAATAAGATAAATAAATTCGGTTTAAAGAATGAATGAGCTGACCACGTGACCATCAGAAATATAAATGCACATACAAAGCAGATATCTAGGTAATCTTATACAATAAGCTTGTTTACTCAATCTTCGTCACGAATAATATTTTGTAGATGCTTTTCGTCATACACTTACATACTTCACTAGCATTCGGATTATGTAGATGCACATTGGTTTTGTTCGGCGCTTCTGGATATATATGGAGACATTTTGAAATCCATTCGAGTTGTTTTGAGCGTTCGACAACATCACTTAAAATGTACAGTCCTTGACGATTCGCTATAGCGAACACATTCCATTCGGATGGTAACTTTAGACCGAGCCGCTTGAAAGGTTCACATGGGACGTGCTCATTTGCTAGTTTCACAGATAAGCGTTCAATTTGTCCATGAGATAATAATGCTGCTGCTGGCGATCGCGGGTCGGATACTGCACGAAAGTCGATAACATTGCTGAGATCAGGTGCTGGTGAACGTTTCTTGTAATATTTGAATGCTCTTTTGAAGACGCTATCAGCAGGTGACGCACTTCTTGAGGTGGAATTCGAAATGTGGTAATCGTTGTTATCACTATCGATGTTTTTTTCATGAACACGTTCACTTCCGTTGTCACCACTATGATAACAGTGACCACCGGCACATTCGGCTGTCCTGCTATTTGAAACATTTGCATCAGTTTGAATAAACTGATCACCCTGCCAAGATCTCATGTCATTATTTGATGGTGAAGTGTCGTTATTTAAGTCACTTCTGAATCCACTACTGCTTTTGGTTGCGATAGTTTTCATTTGCTTGTCGTACTCTTTCATCATGAATTGCTTTATACTTGAGCAGAAGTTCAGACTTTCCTTTTGCCAACTCACTTTCAAATTCCTGAAACGTTACTGTTCAATAATGATGGCAAATAAATTCATTGGCTCATCTTGATAGTAATTATAAGAACAAAGATCAACGGTGGATACGTTATTGTATAATGAATTACCGCCAGAGGTTTGTAGTAATGCGTAACAGCATTCGCTCCTACAATAATCCCTCCCAATAGGGCAACAAGCCGTCGACCAGCTTCTTGAAGTGAACTCTTATATGGCCACCACTTCGGCAGTGAGGACATAAAATCTAGAAATATTTATTCATCTTTATACGATTGTTGTTTATTTCAGCAAATCTCAAACCGACAACACTTTGTCGCACACGCTTAGAAACATTCTTCATTTTCTCCTCTATGACCACGTTGTATTATTGACAAAAATAAAACACAATCACCGGTCACACTTCATCCGATATAAAGTACTTATTCATGTGGCAAATCACATTCACATCGGGTACCTTTCAACAATTTCACCGAAAGGGTCTAATAGTAAGATAATTTGTTGAGTCAATTACGCGCTTATTCAGCTCTCCTAGTTCGATTTGAGCATGAATTTCCTCACTCAAAACATCATTCATGGTTGACTGAAATGGCTTCAGATAGCCGTATAGTTTTCAGTCGCTTTGATGCGGTCTCGCATAGCACACAGATTAAATGAGTAGTCGATGAAGCAGCCCTCATTAACTAGAATTGCAACATAATGTTTTTCCATAATGTTATAGTCAATCTTGCGGTATACATGTCTACGAAAATGAACGATGCTGCTAGCAACCGCCTGAGCTCTATCCCTTGTGTGAGAGATAACTGCATCCCTGCCAAATGCTGGGTTAAGTGCTACCGTGCTATTCAATCACCGAAAGTTCGTTTCGGTTCAATTTTAGAGTCATGCGAACGCATGTTCACCATTGTGTGGCCGTATTACAAAACGCATACTATGCGATACATTAAGATGTACTGAAGTCACCGTGTGTAGTATCGGTGGTGCAAGCAGTCGTCTGAACTTGGGATGAGCTTCGCTCCTGTGGCTTAAGCTTCATTACTGCTGGCTGTAGTGGATACCGAGACTAAGCTGAGGCTCAGGGCCGTGGTGAACCTCAGCAGAATCCGTGCTGGATAGCATTCACCTGAATTGTGGTACAGGTTAAATGCCTACTAATGCTAGCTGAAATGAATCCACACGAAAGAGTATTGATCTGTTGTGCAGTAGAAGTTACATGCACACCAATACCAACTGAAATGAATCCGTACTGGATAGGATAACACAAAAGGGTAGTAATATCAGGATCACCATTTTTAAACCAACGATGAATGCTATCTAGCACGGATTCATTTCGGTTGGTACTAGTGTGCATTTGAGTTTTACTACACAATAGGTCAATACTCTTCAGTTTGATTTCATTTTAATGAGTATAACTTTGCAATTGACCTGTTGTTCATCTCAGGTAAATTGATTATATTCGTAATATGAATTCAAACCACCCAGCTGTTGCTTAGTGTTTATCAATGGTTTATTTCTCGTTACATGGATCACAGTTAGCTCCGAGGATGCCTATTTATTCCCACTCTCTGTCGAGGAACCACCCTCTCCGAGGTAACAGCTCTATCCCTAAGATTCGTTGTAACTGCGAGACCCCTTTTATCCAGGGGATCTTTTTTACGTTTCAAGAGGTTCTCTTCCCCTTCAGGTGACCTTTTTCCTTCCCAGGTAACCCCTCTCCTTCTCATGCAGTCCATTCCTTTTACAAGTAACCACTGTTCTCAGATAACCTCTTTTCCTCCCAGGAAACACCGCTCTCTCCCACGCAACCCTTTCCCTTCTCATAAGTTCCTCCAGCCACCACCAGTCGTAAGCGAACCTAATTTTACAAACTAGCGATTTTACACTCATCTGACACACCGTCGTTGTTCTGTAATTAATATTGTTTGTTTTGTTGTTTATTTTCTTTTAATTACCGTTCGTTGAAGTTGTTTACTTTGAGTTGTTTTATTGTGAGGTTGCTGCCATCGTCCGAATTATCAACTGTTTCCAACGTTGCCGTCATGATTATGATCGCATAAAAATGTCGAAATTGATATTTTTCATAGTCAGATATATTTTCTTTTCAGTCATATTGGAAGAATTTTATTGCAGGCCGAATATATTAGAGTACAGTTATTCGCTTAAATTAACAATTGACGTTGAATGTTGAATCGATGAATGATAACACCGTGCAGAGGGATGATTTCGTACGGGTGAAATCACCTGCAATACCCACTGTACGTTTTAATTTTCGTTGAACATTTGTTTGATTGCTTTTATTCTTAGTTTCATCTCGTCAGTAACACTTCGTGTCAGTCTAGAGATACGATTGATCGATAAAGGTTAAGAAGCAATCATTCAAATGAGTCATATTTGAAGGATCAAATATGGTATCGATCCCGTATGCAAGGAATTGATAATTTGTTGAATGCGGGATATATTCGATCTGGTTCATCAGATAGTGTTCCGTCTAGCTTAAGTAGTGGTCGTAAATATGCTGCAGCTAATAATGCCGAACAGCCAATGCCCTGGTTCCACGGTAACATCACTCGTGAGCAAACTGAGAGGTATAGCATCGTTTGATGTTTTGTTGTTTTTTGCACGCATATAACGAGTGTCATTATTTTTGTTCGTTTACAAATACCAGTATTGGCGTAATCATTCTCATCGTTCACATGAAGATTCCTACCTCCAGGAGTAATATTTGTTACCAAAGCGATAAGTTTTCATCTGAATTCTTCAGGCTACTTGCCGATAAAGCTGACGGCACCTTTCTTGTGCGTGAATCAACGAATTTTCCTGGTGATTTCACTCTATGTATGACGTATAGAGGCAAAGTTGAGCATTACAGGTGAATTTAATTGTTGATTAGAGGATATCAATTTTCAGAAATAGTCATACCGATGTCTGGTACAAGTTTTTATGTTTCTAACAAATTTCTTTGAATGCAATCCTTCCTTTGTTCTCAATTCCTTTTTCAGAATCTACCAAACAAACGGGCTATTGACGTGTGATCATGAAGAAAATTTTGAAAACCTCACACAGCTAATATCAGTTCGTTTTAACTTGGCTTTCTTCACATGATATTTCAGTTATTTGTTCATCTCTTAAATATGTGAAGTATAAAACTAGGATATTGAGAAGAAAAATGATGTTTTAATATATATCGTTTTTATAGCATTACAAGCGTGATGCAGATGGATTGTGTCATAGATTAGTGACACCGATTATTGAAGAAAAATTCAAAATTGGACGGGATTCGGTGAATATCGACGATCGAATTCGTGTCTTCAGGCAAGCTTCATTAGTTATCAAGCGCGCTGATATAAAACTTGGTGATACAATCGGTCATGGCGAATTTGGTGGTATGTTTCTTTCGATTTTGTTTCGAATATTATCTATCACAGTGTTGTTTTGCGTATTATTTTTCAATATTGATTTCAGATGTTCTAATTGGTTCGTATAATGGAAAGGGTGTAGCTGTGAAGGTGCTTAAACGTAACGCAATGGTGCACTCGTTATTAGATGAAGCGAAATTTATGATGTTAGTCGTGATGCTTGTTTTGAGGTGGTCTGTTTCATACCAAAGAAATGCTATTACGGAAGGCGGTTTATTATTAACCAATTGACCATTAAATAAAAATTTTGTTGATCAAGAATGCGATATTCGGAATCCATATGAAATTTTCAGTGGTCTTGATCATCCGAATTTAGTTGCGTTAGTGGGGGTTGTATTGGACGATACGCATGACTTGTTAATGCTCACGGAATATATGGCGAACGGAAATCTGGTTCGATTTTCTCTTTAACAGTGTATATATTTGTCGAAATATTCAATCCTCTGAAACAACAAATATGTGAATTACTCGTGTACGACGATCGTTAAACGTTTGCAAGTTGAGCAAAAAAATAATCTAAGAAACTGCAGAGGAACCCAAGATATTATAATAATCGTTATTAATCTCATTCGCATAGTCATAACTGATCTCTGACATTTTTTTTTGCTTTTGTCGCGTTTTGCCAAGTATGCATCGCATGTGTTATGAAAAAATTTTGCAATCATTGATTTTATCGTGAAGAAGAAATATTTGTTGGAATGTTAATATGTAGGTTGATTTTTTACGATCTCGTGGACGTCATCAAGTGGAGCGTACGCAGTTAACACAATTCGCAATTGATATTTGCGAGGGAATGTGCTATTTGGAGTCGAGGAATATTGTTCATCGTGATCTAGCTGCCAGAAACGTTCTACTCGATGATATGCTTGCAGCTAAAATCAGCGATTTTGGTTTAGCCAAACGTGCCAACGATTGCCACTTCGTTGAAAATTCCACTGGAAAATTTCCCATCAAGTGGACAGCACCTGAAGCCCTCAGATACAGTGTTGGTTTTAAGTTGATTGTTTAATTGAGTGAGTGTGATTGTGCTCTGATTTGATGTGACCACGTTCGTTTAGTGAACACCACTCAATCAGTTTTTCTTTCAGAAATTTTCCACGAAAAGTGATATGTGGTCATTTGGTGTTTTGTTATGGGAGATCTTCTCATTTGGTCGAGTACCTTATCCACGAATCGTTCGTTTTTCTTTTGTTTTTTCTTTTGCATTACTCTATTTTTCTTTATTTGAAGAATTCAGTCAGGGAAAAAGTGTTGATTAACATTGTTATAATGAAAATTTTATTCTGCTCTTAAACGATAGTGTTTTATGAGTGAGCGTTTGCGAGACGTATGCAAAAAAAGATGAAATTAATGAGATTTGACATGTGAAATATTATTGTTGTAATAGTGATTGATGATGCATGTTTGTTGTATGCTTATTGTATTGTGTTATTGTTTTCAAACGCAGACTCACTTCAGGTTTGTGATTCGCATCGTTCTGTAAGCATCTTCTTTCTTGATTTTCTTTACTTTCATTGCATCCAGCATCTCGTTCATTTCACTCATTTCTCTTGTCCTTCTTTTAGAGTCAGATTATATCTTCTATATCAACATTCTTCCATTTTCTCAGCCATTTATTCTTTCGCATGTCTTTATGTGTGTTTGCAGTTAGTGTTGTGATATTCCAGATTTTAATAAGAAAAATGAACAGATGGGTGATAGTATCTGCATTGTAATAACAACTATAAAATGCTAATAATGATGAGAGTAGTAATGGGGATAACTGTAATAACAACCAATCAATTATTGCTATCTGCGAATAATACTGATTGTAATAATAATAATATTTCAGCCAATCCAGGACGTAGTTCGTCATATTGAACGAGGTTATCGTATGGAACCGCCAGAAGGATGTCCAACTGAGATATCGCGATTGATGATTGAGTCGTGGATCCTCGAACCGAATCAGCGACCGTCGTTTGGGCATATGCTTCAAAGGTTAAAAGCTCTACAAGCGGCCGGATTTGCACCAATTACAGGTAGTTGTTGATAAAGAGATTGAATGGTGGGGCGATATTTATGCTGGTGAATGTTCACAAGAAGACTTTCGATGACGGGCTATTGTTGCGCGTAATTTCAGAGTGCAATTGTATTTGCTGTTAATAATATGATGATTGCCTTTTATTGCTTGAATTGTTCATCTTTTGTTGATGCAATCCTTTTGAACTCATTTATTTATTATTAATTCATTCATTTATGAGAGCAAAAAGCAGTGAGTAATGACTGTGATAATAATAATAATTGTTATTATTATTATTATTATTACCATGTTTTTGACAAATTTGCAAATTGTTACTGCGCATCTAGTTGATGAATTGCTTCTCGTTCTCTTTATTTGATATTATTTTCGCACAGCTAAACAAAGACAAGCTTTACGTTTCGCCAATAGTATTTTTGACCAAACTTTGCATTATTATTGTTATTATTATCATTGTTACTGTTATTATTATTTGTTTAACATTGTTATGTACTTTTGTTTATCGTTCATGTTCGTTTATTTATTTATTCTTTCAGTGATTGATCGACTTATTGTCTCCTCGTCGATTTATTTCAAAAATTTATTTGTCACCTCGCAATTGATGAGAATCTTTTTATTGTTAGCTTTTTATATTATTGGCTCTAATCTAAAATATTATGATGAATATATATAAATCAATATTATTGATGTTATGCTATTGTTATGTGGTAACGTTTTTCTTCTGCTGCTTTCCATCAAAATGCATATCGAACTTTCAGATTTCAGTTCATGTTTAGCGTTTTTCTAATTTGCATTTCTTCTTTTA